GGCCTACAAGATAAAAGTAGTCTGAATCGAAAAGCTTTTTATCACCTCGAGAGGTTCCCTCGTAAGTATCGAAATGAAGTTAGCAAGTTGGCAAGAAAGATACTGTCACCTTCGTAGACAAAACAAAAGTTATATGTTATCTGTTTTCGTCATGCTGGATTTTTTTATTACGCTGCCGTCTGTATGAGTCAACTTCCTCCCTTATCTCTCACGCTTTATTATAGAATATAAAGCGATGCACATATGCTGAAGGTAACATTTGTTTGTCTACTTCTCGAAATATATAATTTGATTAAGTAAGTGGTTTTTTTGAATACAAAATACGATAGCTAGTTTGCACAATTCAATAAAATTTAGCTGTTTCAAGTCTCTCGAATCACTATGAGATCGCCGGAAAATATTATCCAGTAGACAAAACTTGAAGGCAGTCTCACTTGTACTGCAGATATTTTGCATGGAACTACAATGTGAACGAGTTGAACGAAGAGTTTGATATGCTACAATTTTTCAAGGCATTCCTCTGGAAAACTAGTTTTAAACGCGAGTAGACAACCATCAATTTTTCGATGTGGTTGTCGAATTCATTGGTCCACACTTCTTGAGTCTTTTTACAAACTTTATCATACACACATATATCTATTGACTATTCCACTAATATCTGTTCATTTAAGTATATGTGAGAATAGTAGGCCTGTAGCTCTTTGTTCACATACGATATGCACAACATCACAGTTGGTTTCATTAGAGGGTTACCGATATTTGCGTCGCGTTACTTGTGAATAGTATATTTGACGGAAAACATCACTTGAACAGATTATATTCATGTTATCGGAAACAGACTTGAATGAAATAAACAACATTTTTCTGCTGGAATGTTGTCTTATGTGTACTCATTCAAATGTTTCCATGTATACGAATTTATTGAAATAATCTATCTCGTCTGACCGCTGCTTTAAGTAGGAGATTCTTTAAAGTATAATAGTCTGATTACAGATCGTACCTAATATGATAGGTGTAGCCAAGAGTTCAAATAAACTTGTATTTTTCTAGCAGACACTCTAGTAAACAATAGCATTAGTTGATGTGTTAGTAAATATATTAATGCTAAATAGAAATTTTAAAGAGTATGGCTTATTTTTATATAAGTATCTCGAACGTGCTTTGTTTCATTGCCTCTCAGATAACTGAATATAACCTCTTTTTGTTGGGGTACATACCAATAGCGCCGCCATAATTTAGTTCTTTAGATATTTGTTGAGTATCAGTATGAGGATATGAATTTAAGTGTGAGGTGTGCGTGGCTGTGGGTTGGTTGGGTGCGGACCTTCCGTGAGCTACTAACATCCACATACACATCAATATCCACACGCCGGTCTAAAGATGTAAAGCTATGTTTTAATGTTACGGTATACACAGTAGGAATTTATATGTGGATTCTGCCGGTTAGGTTGTTTTGCAGGAAACAAGATATTTTTAATTTCAACTAGATTTTTTTGATTTATTTCCATGTAAGCAGTCAGTTAAATGTTTACATCTAAAATCTTTTTTCTAGCTGAAGACGAATATGTAAAAATTTTATTAAAGGTGTCTTCAAGGTTAGTTACCGATAGTAAAGTAGATAACTACATTTTCAACATGGAAAGGGGTTACAGAATACATATTATCTAAAACAATCTTATTTTTATAACACGAATCTGGCAACTGTGCTTGAATTGTTAATTCCTAACTTTCCTCACGTTCCATTTCTAAGAATAAATACACTTAATAATTCACTAGTCAATACTGAATATTCGAAAGTATTTGTGCAAAATTTCAGGATTGAGTTGAGCGAGGCTCAATGGGCCCACGCGTTACTTGTCATACCAAAAGTTAATCAAATTGTTAGATGTGGTCTAAGTTCAATGAAATTAAATATTGATATATTGTTGCCCTGAAATACTAGAGGGATTAGAATTTCCACCTAGATATAAGCTAAAGTCATAGTTAATATGAACGGATGATCTAGTACCACTTCGTAGTATCTCTATTTTCACTGCATCTCCCTACCAAAGCGCGTTTTCTTCTGTTTCTCTTTCCTTCCTTTCTTATTGCATTGATATTTTTTATGTATTTTTCATGCTTTCATGACACATGTATTTTTAGGATGGGATGTGGATAGTGTACAGTACACAGAAAAGAAAAGACAGGGACAATTGCCAAATACTGATTAGCTTTTGATTCGAGACTACATGAACTATGTAGGCTCTAGTAGACTGAAAATATCCCGAAAAAAAATTTGTACCACAATATAGTGGCTCCCTCAGATTTGCATAGGAAATCAACTTTTGAGTATCGACGTGAAACTTTGTGCAAAGAAAGATCTCGATGAGACTAGTTTATTCTGGAAATGTTGCATTTTTAGATTCCCTCTATCCCAAAATATGATTGTAAAAATAAATACTCTTCTTCATATTACTCATAGCACAAAATCTTCAATGTCGGTGTGGGTGTCAGTTTTAGCGTAAAGAGGACTTTCATACCCACACCCACAAACTCACACCCACACCCACACCCACAAACTCACACCCACACCCACACCCACAAACTCACACCCACACCCACACCCACAAACTCACACCCATACACTCTAAAAAAAATCGGTTTCTTACCGAACCCCCAAAAAAGGTTCCGGAGATGTCTAAAAGCATCCAAAGATGTCCAAAGTCTCAAAAAAAGGATAAAAAAATCTACGAAACCTTTAAAGGTTCTTACCGTGTACCGAGGATAAGAACCTTTTGCTGCGAAACCTTTTTTTAAGTTCCGTACAGCAGAAAAAAGTTTTCGTAGGAAAATACGAAACCTTTAGAGTTTCATATTAAACCCTAATAGTTTCGTACTAAACTCTCATGATTTTGCACTAAACCCTCATGATTTCGTAGAGTTTAATACGAAACTCTAATGGTTTCGTATTTTCCTACGAAACCTTTTTCTGCTGTACGGAACTTAAAAAAAGGTTTCGCAGCAAAAGGATCTTATCCTCGGTACACGGTAAGAACCTTTAAAGGTTTCGTAGATTTTTTTATCCTTTTTTTTGAGACTTTGGACATCTTTGGATGCTTTTAGACATCTCCGGAACCTTTTTTGGGGGTTCGGTAAAAAACCGATTTTTTTTAGAGTGTACCCACACCCACACCCACACCCACAAACTCACACCCACACCCACACCCACAAACTCACACCCGCACCCCCCCCCACCCCCCACACCCCACACCCACACCCACACCCACACCCATGCCCACACCCACACCCACACCCACACCCTATTTTCACTAATGACAGTCTGAATGACCAAAATCTTAACTACGAAAATTGCTCATGAATCATTCATTATGTTTTTAAATTTAACTTTCAAAAATAAGAATCAACTCAATGAATTAAATACTATTTCATTTAAATAAGACAATAATAAATTTAAATTAGCACATTCGTCTTTTGAAATAATAATTCGTATACCGTATTGTTCATAAAAAAAATTAACACGTGGAAGATGAATAAGAAAAACACTGCAAAGTTAGTTATATTTCAACGGATCAGTATAGTTCAATTCTATTTATTAGATAACTGGTTTTGTATGAAAGAAACAAATGAAATTGTGTTGAAAGTTGCTTTTTTTTGTTGACTTTTGTTTTTTAGTGGATACCTTAGTAACAAATATGAATGATTCAGACACCATCGAATTGAATGCATGCAGAATTGTGTTTTTTTTTGTAAGACATCTATTGATTCATTTGCAGTTCTGTCTTGGCAACTGACTATTTATTGAAACATAAAAAAACGAACAATAACAATAATATAGACGCACAATTTTGTTTTTTTGCCGCTTCCATCTATTGAAGCCAAGCAACTTTCTTACTACGGTCTTAATGAAAAGTGTATACTAATTGTATCCCATCATTTTTTCTTGACGACTACTAAATTTGTTATTTTTTGTCACATATATACCTCACAAAATGGGCTGCAGTGCATCAGCACAAATAGTAGGATCTGTAACGATCGCATTTGCATATGATATAGTCAGTCTGGGTATTATGGACGGTTGATAATTACACTTTATATGTAATATTACGAAATCTATTCGAATGTAAATTCTTAGTTTGACATTCTCTTCCATACCAGTGTGATTATCATTACATGAGATGTGGCTAATATTCAAACTTTATGATCAAGTGGATACTTACTAGAATATCTTGATGAATGCAAAGTCAACTTGATGAATATATCTATTTGATAATGTTCATTGCTTCATTCATATACATTAAATGTCCTCATCATTCTAAAATTGAGAAGGAATCTAATTGACTTTCTTTTTTTTTTTATAGAACTATTAGAAGGTGTTGCAAAATTTTATGTAGAGAGTTTATTTTGTCATTGATTTATTCAGATTTATCGGTTGTTATGAAATAATCAACATGTTTTCTCATTATTGTTGATATTTTCTAACATTTCTTGAATAAATTACACCTTATATGATTTTATTACAAAAAAATATTCAGTTATTATTTAGTTTGTTGTTGTTCGTAGAAGTAAAATAGCACGTTTCAACCAACAACAACTTGATCACTTGCTATCAATACATATTCATGAATATCATGAACTTCATCTATTGATTCTTTGTGTTATTTTTCGAGATATTCTAGGTTGTTATTTATCTGCTATGTCCCATATTGATCGTCCAGAAGTGTATCGTCGAAAAGTATTCAAGTCTACTAGTATACAATCTTTGTATCTCAAATCAATTTAATCCCTTGAATCATACAGACACTTGTCGTGATGGTCCTCTGAACTAACTAATGTCAACAGAAGAATTATCAAAAATATATTTGAGTGAAGATTCAGTAAAATTTGTTCATTAAAAATAGTATTATACCTATTTTTATCACAAACACCAATGTACACTTATCAATTAAGATGTTTGACTATGACACCGATAATAAAATATATGAATAGCTCATAGTCCTTCTATGAAACAATCATCATCGTACAGTACTTCACGTATACAATCGGACTCCATCATTAATGGAAGACGAGGTCAACGTGTACAAGCAGAAGACCTTGTAGAAAATTTTCTCTTAATTTGGCTTGATAATAAAATCGATGAATCAAATGATGATTTTCGCAATTCAATTACAAAATTGCGACAAACTGTTAATACCATTGAAATATTTCGTGATCCAAATGAATGTATTAATTATATTTCCACATTCGAAAACGAAAAAACTTTTCTCATCATTTCTGGTGCTCTTTGTGACAATGCTATGCCACGTATTTATCCTATGTCACAAATCTACTCAATTTATATCTTCTGCCGGAAACCATCACAATACGACCAATGGGCAAAGAAAGATGATTGGCCAAAAGTAAAAGGTATTTTTACAGTAATCGATTCGATTTGTGATTCTGTTCGACAATCTGCTCGAGAATGTGACGAAGATTCTATCGTAATTAGTGGTCAAATCGAACCATCATTCATGTATACAGTACTTTTCAAAGAAATTATTCTTGAAATTAAGTTCGACGAGACGAAAGAAACCAAAGATCTTGCTGAATATGCCCGTGAGAAGTATAATGATAACATAAAACATCTGTCACTTATAGACGAGTTCGCTCGAGATTACAAAGGTAACGTTAACAACAAACCTATATGGTGGTACAGTAGAAAGTGTTTTACTTGCTCTTTGCTAAACAAAGCATTGGGAAATCTAGACGTTTCTACTCTGCTAAAATTCGGTTTTTTCATTAAACATCTTCATAAGAATATCGAACAACTTCAATATGAACAATTGAATGACAAAGATGTACTACCACTACTAAATGTAGTTTTTCGTGGTCAAACTATGACCAAACAAACTTTTGACAAAACAATCAAACAAGGTCATCAACTAGTATCTTTCAATAATTTCTTATCAACAAGCGAAGAGAGACATGTTGCAATTGAATTCATTAAAAATGGGCTCGAGTCCAACAACAACAAATTTGGTGTTCTCTTTATAATGAAGCTAAATCATACGATTAAATCGGCTCCGTTTGCTCGTATCAATACAATCAGCGAATCTCCAACAGAAAAAGAAATTCTCTTTTCAACACACACAGTATTTCGCATTCAGAAAATCAAAGAAATCCAAGAAAATGGACTGAAGATAACACAAGTCAACCTTACACACACTAGTGAAAGTGACGATCCACAGCTCAGTGACCTTACAGAACGAATACGAAAAGAAATCACTGGTACTGGGTGGGAAAAAATGGGTACATTATTATTGAAAATGGGTGAGAATAAAAAGGCCGAACAAATATATACGATGCTACTCGAACAGGCATCGGATGACATCCAAAAGGCCAGTTACTCTGGCAACATCGGTTCGGTGTATAAAAACATGGGCGAGTATTCAAAAGCACTTCTATTTTACGAACAATCACTTCAAATTCAGGAAATAGCTCTACCTCAGAATCATCCTGCCCTCGCACAGACCTATAACAACATCGGCTCGGTATATCGAAGCATGGCCGAGTATTCAAAAGCACTTTCATCCTATGAACAATCACTAGAAATCCGGAAAATAGCTCTTCCTTCGAATCATCCTGACCTCGCACAATCCTACAACAACATCGGCTCGGTGTATCGAAACATGGGCGAATATTCAAAAGCACTTTCATCCTACCAAGAATCACTTGAAATCCAGAAAATAGCTCTCCCTCCGAATCATCCCTCGTTGGCTGTTACCTACAACAACATTGGTTTGGTGTATAATTACATGGATGAGTATTCAAAAGCACTTTCGTATTACGAAAAAGATCTGGAGATCAGCAAGAAAACTCTCCCTCCAAATCATCACGAATTGGCCACTTCCTACAACAACATCGGTGGGATTTATGATAAAATGGGCGAGTATTCAAAAGCACTTTCATCCTACGAACAATCACTTGCAATATATAAGATAGCTCTCCCTACGAATCATCCCGACTTGGCTATTTCCTACAACAATATCGGTATGGTGTATGATAACATGGGCGAATATTCTAAAGCACTTTCATCCTACGAACAATCACTAGAAATACGAAAAATAGCTCTGCCTCCGAATCATCCTTCATTGGCTACTTCCTACAATAACATCGGTCTGGTATATCATCACATGGGTGAATATTCAAAAGCACTTTCATCCTACCAACAATCACTTGAAATCAAGAAGATAGCTCACTCACATACCCCGAATCATCCCTCGTTGGCTACTTCATACAACAACATCGGTAGAGTGTATGATAGCATGGACGATTATTCAAAAGCACTTTCATATTACGAAAAAGCTCTACAAATACATGAAAAATCGCCTTCTCCAAATCACTCAGATATAGAAAGTCTGAAAAACAACATTGAATTGGCGAAACAGAAATTGTAATTTGTTATTTTTTGCTTCTGAATAAAAAATAAAATTGTGGGTGGGTGTGGGTGTGAGTTTGAGTGTAGGTGTAGATAGAGACAAAAATACACACACTCACACGCACTTGAATGCATAAAAAAAAACATGTTTGCATCCAAAGAAAGTAGCTTTTTCTCAGAATTCATATTTCGGTATTAAAATGCAACAAACTTCAGTCCTTTGTAGCAGTATGTAACAAGAGTAAGAAAATTGTACATTTTTTAGAACTAGCTTCGCTCTATAAACTGGTGTATAAAAAGATTTTCTTATTGTCTGCACTACGAGTTCTATAATTCAAGCAGGAAGGAAGTTTCGACCTAGCCAACTTATCATTATTTAAAATATTGATAACTTTTGAACGCTTAAATGAAACTTGATGAAATGCTTAATATAAATAGCCGCATTAATGGGCCCCATAATGATGCGTTGGCGGTGTGGGCGTGGGTGTGGGTGTTCCTTTTGCCTTAAATCCCATATACTCACACCCACGCCCCGCACCTACACCCTCACACCCACACCCCACATCCACATCCACACCCACCCACACCCACACCCACACCCACCCCACCCACACCTCACACCCCGCACCCATACCCACACCCCGCACCCACACCCACACCCACACATCCACACCCACACCCACACATCCACATCCACATCCACACCCACCCCACACCCATACCCACACCCCACACCCACCCACACCCACACCCCATCCACCCACACCCACACCCACACCCTCCAAGAGTTCCAAGAGTTCCTAGGGTTCCAAGAGTTCCAAGAGTTCTAAGAGTTCCTAGGGTTCCAAGAGTTGCAAGGGTTCTAAGAGTTCCTAGGGTTCCAAGAGTTTCCAGGGTTCCCCAAGAGTTCTGAATTCATGGAATCCAGCCACTGCTGCCCCGTTGATATGTATTAGTTGTTCAAATGGATAAATTACAAAAATCTATTTGTTTATTGACTTTCTCTTTTCATTTCTAGCTGCATGGATCTTATTTTCGATAATCTCGTACTTCCACACAATATACACACTCTCTTTACCCACACACACACGTAATTCAATCACACACATAACTGAGTGCGGGTGAGATGTATGTATCGTGTAGAAGAACCGAAAATAAAAAATAAAAACAACAACATTTATGATGACAATGGCAGTGAATAGAGTATATTGTTTATTTTATTCCTTTTTTTTTCTATAGTGCATTGTTATTAGCTGGCACCATCTGTATTTGGCTGTGAGCAGATACACTTTCTAACGAATTGCGTATCATTCGTCGACAGACACTGTGCCGACAGACATTTCGTCGATAGGCACTCTGTCGACAAATATATCGTGGACAATACATTTTTTTCGACTTTTTTTGGTCGACAGGCGTTTCATCGACAATACACCCTTTAACCCTAATATCAGTTTCTCAATGCACATTGCCTATGAAAGAGGGCGCGTGTGGCTGGCTGTCTTATATCCTATGGATGAGGATGGCAGTGTGGGTCGGCATGATCTATCGTAAGCAGGCATGATCCAGTGGGGCTGAAAGCGAATAATCCCGATCCATATGTGCAGACGACTCAAGAGTGTTGGGTAACAGAGTGCACCTACAGGTATCTGAGGGTAGTAGTGGCCCTATAATCGCATCAGTGAGCGGAGTTGAGTAGCCTCCTTTGGGTACTTGTAGGTATCGCTGCACATCAATAGGAAGTGCTGGATAAATGAAGGTAAGCATCTGTGGCTACCTGTCAGGAGTGCACGACAGTTATGGGCACTATTGCCCACTGACATCCACCAATGTCTCCCAACACTCATTCAATAGTTCTCAGCCACATTCACCCACAGATGCCCGCTGATGCATATAGTTACCTACAGCTGTCCGCTGCTGCACAGTCGTGTCCACGTACGCATGGATGAGGACTGGGTGTAGGTGTGGGCATATGCTCGGGTGAAGAGAAAACTAAAGACCAAACCC